CCTGCTACTGGAAGAGCCTGGCATTTTAATTACAATTGATTCTATCATCAACTACTGGTTTGGCTCATCATTTGCAGCTTTGAAAAATAATGTGCATAACAGTAGCATTAAGCTACTTTCCTTTCCAGAGCAATAACTGGCAGATAAGGAAAAGTAAGTATATGTAAAAATTGTACATTATTTCAATGGCTTAAAATGCTGAAAGTCATAATCAACACACTTGATACTGGTTTGATTTTTTTTTTTTTTTGTTCATAACATACTTCAAAAGGCCAGAAGAGCTACAGACCTGGTCACATCTCCTAGCATTTCTCTGTGGGAACGGGTTCTTCATCTCCCTTTAGAAAGTATGCATATATTAAACCATACTTTTTAATTACTCCCAGACTGAGAAAGCTTGGATCATGTATCTGCCATCTTAAGGTTTCCACAGTTGCATGTTGGATAGAATAAGGAAAGCTGTCATTGACAGAAGGATCTGTAGACTGGCCAAAGGAAAAGTTAACATTCTAAATTAAAAACAGTCCCAAAACGTTAGCAAAAGGTACCAACTTGTTCAGGGGACTTCACTCTACTTCAGCTCAGTCTGCCATGGTACTTATTTTGTCCATAAGCACCAAAGTGTGAAAACTTAAGCATTTGTCCAGAATTACCGCACATAGTCCACTCTCAAATTCTACTCTGCAGATCACTTACAAGTTCCCCAAATTCTCTCCACGTCAAATCACCAAAAAAAAAAAAAAAATCTAATCCTCAATCACACTTTTGCATAGTTTGGCATTTTCTGGAGTTGTACTTTTGTTTTCTTTCATAGCTTTTGAGGGGACTCGTCTGTCACATATGCAAGTACTTCCAGTCTAAATCCTTCAGGAGAAAAACTGAGTCCCACTTAAGCAGCAAGCTGTCCAGGACTGTTTGACATTCTTCTTTCAATTCAAAGTAAACATTACTCAGTTTTATCTGCACTTTCAGATCTTTCCCTTTGCATCATGCAGCGACGAACTATGCTGTCAAAACTTCCTAGGTAAAATAGGCCAACGATGCGAAAAATGCCCATGCAAACAACCTGGAAACAGAGAGAAACATCTTTCAATTCATTTAAGATCCTGGATTGCAACATATTATTTACTCGTGAAATAAAAAAAGTTGCAGGCATGTATGTTATATAACCTCAAGAAAACAAACTCATGAAAACCATCATAACTATGTAACAGTTCAGGACTGAGGAGCAGGTAGCAATCCTAGCTTTCCCGCCAACTTGCTGCTTCAGCTTGAAAATACTACTTCAGTTTCCTAAACCCACAACTCCACAGTATTAACAGCCATTTGATGAAACAATAATCAATGTCTGCATAATGTTCTACATTTTGGAGTATTTTAAACTATAAGAAATTGTGACTACAGGGCCTTCCCGAATCTTACCTGCTGAAGACCTTCAGTAATAGAAGTGACTGGCGACATTCCACTTGTCAGTATTGATAGCATGTAACCATCTGATCCAACTGAGCTGTTAAAGTTTCCTTGCTGGATGGAAGGAAAACAGCGATTAAGAAAAAAAAAGTAATTTACCCAGTTGTGGCAAATCATGATGCATCTTATTCCAACAGCTATTCTTGATGAACATAGCTGATTGCTATCACTAACAACAAATATTTTTATGTAAAAAAATAGTAACATAATTAAGAATCAAAATATTCAAAAATATTTTGTGCTATACAGCAACATTTCAAAAGGCATTCACTTAAAAATGGACAATGAAGCTAACTTCTCTTTAGAGAGGTGTGCTAAATCCCTGCAGATTTCTTTAAAAGCTAGAAAGGCTCTAAATTTCTTCTTGAAGCATGCTTACTGATGGAAAAAATGCATGATGGTCTCCCCCTCTGTAAATATATTTCAGAGACAGAACTGCACCCTAACTCTGTCAGATCACCAATCACTACTATAGTTGTAGAATCAACTACTGCTTGCCTTTTGTTAAAATTAGTTTGCTATCACATGAGATTTGGTGGTGGTGGTGGGGGTGGTATTTCAAATGCTAGGTAACAGGTCCTCCTTCATCTACATCAAGGATTTTTAACTCACCCTTCCCAAAACCGTGATATACACAGCCTGCTAAGCAATTCAGCTGGCAGAAGAGGGGGGACAGGCACCAGGAAAAAGTTATTTGCTTGGTTTTTGACTACTCATCAGGAAAATTGCAGCTCTACAGCTCTGACTCCCAGGCTTCTCCCATTTGTTTCCAGCAGACTTTCTGCTGGAAAACACTTTCTGAAACGCTGTAGGACTAAATCTATGGGATGCAGAAGTGAAAGGAGAAGGTGGTGTTCCTGAATCAGGGTTAGGATTGAATCTATGCAAAGTAGTAGCGGATATAAGATTTGGTTGTTTCCCAACACACACCTGAGAGGACTGCGAGTTCCTACAGTACAGAGCTACCTTTTAATTTCCATTTTAGTCTCTCAGCTGATGGCTTGAGTGCATAAAGACCATGTCTGAACTAACATATCATCCAAAGTGCTGGAGAGATTGTTGTAGAAATAGCAGATCCTTAAGATTAGAGAGGAGATTAGTTTTCCTTAAGCACCAAAGCAGAACATTATGTGTGGCAGTACTTGCTTTTAAAACTCACCACCCCAAAACCAGACATAATTTTGTGTTTATGCGCTGTATTGTGAAAATATTGTAAAAATGTCACAATTGAACACCTGCTGTAGACATAAATCATGTCGAAGATCAAGAGTATTTAGAATTACAAAATAGTTACAGATTTTAGGATTCAATCACTGTGCTTTATGAACATGAGATTTCATGTTTGTTTCCATTCTGAGGTGCTTTATTAAGCATGCAAGCATTCCATAGCACAAAACATTAAAAAAACTCCTCAGAAAGGCAATACACCTTTAACCACTAAGAGCAGCATTTTATGTATTTTAATCACTCATAAATCATATACTGAAGACATTAAAAGCCAAAAAGACTAGACTGCCTTCATTTATTGTAAAATTATTTTTATATGAACTCATCTTCAAGAAAAATAAGGTAGTCCAACAAGCTTTTGAGGTTAGACAAATGGTATTTGATACATAAGTCAATAGAGTTTAGTGCTTTAAAGTCAGTCATAGTCTGCGTTTGAGACATTGCATCATACTGATGCATCATTTTCTTCTGTCTAATGTACAACTTCAGATACTGTTTAGTTCCAAGAGATTGTATAAAATCATTTGTGGGCATGGTGGCAAAAAGAAAATACTTCCTGTTCAAACTAACCAGCGAAGAGTACTGTTTCGTGTAAATTGATTTTGCATTTAGCTTAGCCATTGTCTTACAGTCTTAAACTAGCAGTACATGCAATTCTAGTCTCTCCAACAAAGAACATACTTTAAAAAGATAATTTACTTACTATGGCATCTTTGACTATAACTCTGGCGACTTGTTCTGCTTGGCAAACAGATGAGGTTTCAGAAATTAGCTTCGTCTCTAAAGGCTTTAGTAGAAAAACACCAATATAAATTTGACTAACAACACACAGGAGAGAAAAATATGAAGGTCAAATTTTGGTTTTGGGTCTTTTGTCATGGATGACATCACTGTTAGCGAGTGGTATCATACTGTCACCTAAGACACCCACTTAAAGAAAGGTAAAAGCACCTTCATAAATAATAGTCTAATTTTATGAAGGGAAATGCCAACTTTTCCTTGAGTTAGTACCTTTTTAAAATAATTTATTACTAATAAAATACAAAAAAGTGTGTTCCCCCCCCCAAGTATTTTATTTTCAGTAGAAAGCTATCAAAATACCTAAACTATGTCTCCTCAACACCTGTATTAGTTCATTTATAGTTTTTGCCAGAAATGAAGTAAAAGATAGGCCTGAAATATTTTAAGATCCTACAACAACTTTTTTTTTTTTTTTTTTAATTTCTCAAACTCCACACACTGGTATCCACCAAAATCCATCACTGCATGTTATTTCTTTGTGTTTTAGAGCATTTACGGCACTTTACCTCACTAGAAGACAGCAATTATGGCAGTTATTTTTACAATCACAATTTCTTTCACAAAAAAAATCCCACCACAAGTCTGGTCTGTTACAAAAACATATGGCAAAAATATGTTCTAAAGTATTTAGAAGCACCTTTGTCATTCATGTCCTTTTAACAAATAAAACAATGATGGAGCTAACTGCACAGCAAGCTATTTAAATGCTCAATATGTTAAGATAGATGGTTCTGTTGTTGAAGAAAAAACAGTGCTAAATTAGGGAGAAAGTACTTGGTTGCAAGTCGACTTGTTGTAATGGCTAATTCAATCACATTTAATAAGAAAATTTAATTGAGGCATTCAAGCCTCTTCAAATACTGGGACTAGTTTAATTCCAAGATTAATACTTTAAAAAAGCAATTCTAGTAAGAGCTGAGCAACTGCAAGTTTCTCTCTCATTATCAATCCAAAGTACTACAGAAATTAAATTTCACAGAAACAGGCCTACTTCCAAGTATCTGCAGAATTACGAATCCTGATTTCACTGACCAGGCTCATTGAAAACATTTTTGGTTTTTAGTATGTGTATTTTAAGGGGGGCAGGGGAAATCGATGTCTTTGCTAGCAGAAATCACATACAAACACTTTTTACATGCTTTCCTACAATGATATGGCTTATGTCATCAGATCTCCATCTCATAACACCTATGTACTTTTGAGCTTATTGGCCAGTATGAACCAAATCTGAAAGAGATATAGGGATGTCAACAGTAATTAAAATACTGTAAGTTTGGGAAAAAATAGCTGCTGTCCAGGTGCAACAGCTCAAGTTAATGACATGTTGAGAAAAAGGCAGGCAGAAATCAGCCATTAAATACTTGATCTGGATAGTCAGCCAGCCAAAGCACAGTTGTCATTTGTAAAGCAGTAACCTCAAAGGCAAAGAAAAAAAAAAAAAGCTTAATGATTAAACACGGGAAAGTTGTATCCTAGTTCATGACACTTTCTTTTACTATATTCAATGATTTCAGAGAAAAATAGCCTAGTCCTAAAGAGATGCAAACTACAGAGACAGATGTTCTAAACTAAGTAGTATTAAATAAATGCAATAATAAACAAGTATCTGAACTGTCAGAGCAATGCAATATTGCAGAGATTTAAGGTGCACTATCACAATAGGAGCAAGTTGCCTGAAGACTTCATGTATGCTGAAACAAAGCATAAGTCTTTGCTTAAAAGACAAAACCTTTTTGACAAATAAAAAAAATCCACTGAATCTCTTTTAAAGAGAAATCTTAGATGAACAGTGCATTTTGCAGGTGACTATATTTCCCTGAAATAGGCTATTACGAAGAAAAAAATTCCCGAGAATATGCAAGCTATACAAGTATCTGCAGATGTCTCATTATGGCACTTTACACAGATGTGTGGGAATATACATTTAATACAGAATATCTATATCAAGAAAGGATGAAGTAAGAATTGTGTTATACAATCCCTACTGATTCCTATACAAAGGGTGAAAGACAAAATGGAATTCAACCCCAATTTCCTATTAGACATTATGGGGCATCTTGAAAAGGCTCATCTCCTTAGATATCAAGTTTCTAGTTCACAGAATGCAAATAAAAAATATACACATTTTTCTCTGGTTACCTGATACTTCAGTCTCAACAGGGGGCCTGAAAGTAACTTTTGGAATTACACTTCATATGTAGCAACATGTTAAATGACAAGAGGCAACTAAATTTTTGAAGGTCAAAACTTTCCTTTTCAAGGTAAGCCAAATGGAAAAGGCCAACTGCTGACACACCCTTCTGAAAAGTGATACTGTCATTTGCACTACAAACACAATGCAAGAGTTTCCTTCCTACTTTATTACTAGACAACAGCCACTATTAAATTGTGTCATTACTTATATTCATACAGCATGGTTAGTTTGCAGACTTCACTGAAGGAACTGAGCGTTATTTTGATCTGTCACATCTATCAGAACAGCTGCATATTATCAAAGACACAAAATAGGAATATTGTTTTTGGCTCATTAAGCTTTGATATCAAAACAAATAGTGGTTTTACAGTTTACCATTCCACAACAATTTTGATGATATTCATATTCTATGATTCTATGAAATCTGAAATGGACTGCTTACTACAAAGTGAAGCTTTATGAACATTATGGTATTACTGAAGAACAGTTTACCTTTGTTTTACTTTCCTCTGCAAAGCCAGGTGTGTCAGTATCTGGAGGATAAGCCACCGTTATGTAGATATTATAAGGTTTTACCTGTATTTTACAAATAAGTTAAGTGTTACCTTAATACTGACAGCCTTTACATGTCCCTCATAACTTCATTAATTTCTCTTGTACCAAAGAAATACAGCAAGCATGAATTTCAATTGCTTCTAGTGTTGCCACCATCATATTCAGCACTTGCAAGACTCGGAGCTTTGTCAAATGAGAAAGCAAAACAGCACAAATCTTAAAGAGATAGTTGTGTTGTTTTGTTTAATAAAAATATCTAAAAACTTTGCATTTGATGTAAATTATTTGATCAATCTAAGCGCTTGTTAAGACATTTAGGAGGAATATGAAAGTAGTTTAGCTCTATAATTTTACCAATTTCAATTTTAAAAAAAGACTACACCATTGCCGAACACCAGTACCCAGCATTCATAAACACAAGGCCAGAAAGGCTTTCAGTGAGGTTTAGTAGCATGCTTTTTTGCTGTTGTTTATGTCAATATATTTTCACTGCTGGACAAATATGAGAAAAAAAAACAACAAAAATATAAAACTCAAATTTGATATCTTTAAGAGGTATACTCAAGTCACAAGGCTTTTCGACCCATGGTATAAACTTGCAAGGGGTCAAAATCTAAGGAGACAAAAAAATAAGCAGAAAATGTGAGGAAAAATGGAAGGTCTCATTGTCAAGGATTGCATTTAGTTATGTATCTGTATGTATGTGTAATAGAATTACATCACTTACTGCACTACTATTCAGAAACTACTACAATGCAAATCTGTACACCAATACAAATAAAGAAGCTTTATTCAGAGGGCTAAGATAAAGCAAAGTGTTGTAAAGCACCAAGCATTTTTATTTATGAAACAGTCTCTATTGAAAACACTTACTGAAATACCACATCACAGGTCCATACACGCCCTATCTTTAGTTTTGAATTCAGTCTTCGCAAAAATACCTGTCACCAGCCTGAAGAAAGGCCCTGCAGTCATGTTGTTCTATTTGGCAGGCCAGAAGTGATTAGAGGCAGTTTTACCCCACATTCTTACCCCGATCAAGGCACACAACTACATTGAACAGAACAGGGTAACAACAGGGACTATGCAAGGGTCTAGAACCAAATGCAGACACTTAATAGATAAACACTTAACAACTAAAATATACATTCTTTACAGAAGAATAAGGGAAGTAATTTTCAAATAATTTTTATCTGTCTTACTACAATGCACTTACCAAACTCTTACCATTGAATAGTGAAAACAGTGTTTGGTTGGTTTTTAGTCTTAAGTGTAAGCTTAGATCATTGCACTATAAAAAAAGCTTATACCAAAGTTTAGAGGGGTGAACCACTGTCAACACAAATTTTTTTTGTGGACAATCCTCAGACTCTAGGTTGCAAGTTTTACTGTTTCATATGGTTCACAAACCACTTACCATGGCCTCACAAACAAGTTGGGAATCACTGGCCTGCCCCTCATGCATCCATGGGATCTTCAATATCATTCTGCACTTAGAGCCTTGACAAAGACTTTTACTCAAAAGACTTAAAATCAAAGTCCTTTTACTTAAAAGATTAAAAAAATGTCTGCACATGTGGTCATCTTCAGTTCTAGGAACAGATTCAATCTATTTGCTCTTATGCAACTGAAATCAGCTTAGTTTCTGCAATCCCATGCAAAGCAATAGGATTGTACTGCTGCCAAAAAAAAGGGCCAACATAACACGCTGATATCAGCACTGCTGCACAAGACAAAAAGACAACTATTTAAATGAAAATGTGCTGTGCTGCTAGTTAAAAAAAAGTTTGTTTACAATCAAAAAAACCTTAAATTATTGCACACGTACCTCCATTTGCAGGGCTTCAGCCAACCCTCGAAGAGCAAACTTTGTTGGCGAATAAGCTGTATAACCAAACAGGCCTAATTGCCCAGCCTGAGATGATACAAACACAATCCTTCCCATTCTTCGTTCCTTCATGGTAGCGATTACTGCTCGACTTGGGTAAACACTACCCAGATAATTGACTGCCATTAATCTCTGTACAAACAATATTAATATGGTATTTGAGCCACAAATTCAGAATCCTTCAGCTGTTTGGTATTATTTATCAAAAAATCCGTATTTCAGTCTGCTTTAACAGTGAAGTTCACTAGATTTGTAGTTCTATCAGCTGGCAAAAGAAACACCGATTGTTTTCTGTTCTACAGCTTCATAAACTGTTTTATAGCTAAAAATCTCACTTCAAGCCAAAAGAAACCCAGTCTATCTACATGTCTTAGTAGCATCCAGGATACTGGTACTACTGTGAACCATATGGCCTTCAAGGAAAAAAGAGTATTTTGAAGGAAAATCTAACCTAAACAGTGTCCAGGAAGCAATGAATTTACACATGATGTATGAACACATACGGAAATGAAAGTTTAAATAGCTTTAAAACAGGAAAAAAAATCTATGTATTTATGCATTTCAGAGATTTTAATCTTTGGCAGGATAAGGGGAAGTCTTTAATTTCCCTCTCTAGAAGACCTAAAACACAACTGATAGCCTATACAAGCAATAGAATGGAGGATTAAAATTTGTTCTAAAATTATGCCTATTTAGTATTTTCAGATGATTCAATGTTACCTGTAGATAACTGGGGGCCTGAGGGCTGTGGGTATAAACCACCCAAAATACATGAGTTTGGGGGGTTTTTTTTGGTCATTTCATCAGAGCAGCAGCTTCTCAAGCTGCAAACAATTTGTGCACCTCAGAGTTGAACACGGGTGACAGACACATTTTTCTTAAACAGGTTAAAAATATATGTTAAAAAAAATCTTCACCATAAAAAAAGTGAAACCATGCAAAATTCAGTGCTTTTCACAGTGCATTAAACTATAAAAATACATGCCAGGCTTTTTTGCCATCTTGAGGACTGACTCTATCCCAGAGGGAGAATTCACTGTTCTGATCCATCAATAGACCGATAGTTAGGTGAGAAATTATAGGCAATGCTTGCAAATCTAAAGATACATTCTAATTCTGACAGCTACCACAAATCGAGTGTATCACTATTCACACAAAATCTGCAGACACATGAATGCAATCTAATTGTTAGAACCGTTGAATAAGAAATCATTGTATAATAAAATAAAGTATGCTCACTCACTTCAAAAGAATTCACTTGGATATCCTCAAATTTTCCTGTAACTGATGTTCCTGCACAATTTACAAGCATGTCAACTGGCCCCAGCTTCTCCTGAGCCTGGAAGAGGGAACAGAGATTAAGATGTTCTTTAGCAGGGGAAAAAACCTCCTATAGCACAGTATCATTATAAGAAGCTATTTCCATTAGAAATACATCACACACAGATAAGCTTCTTAAGATACATAGGTGAATCAGTTACTTCCCCACCTGTTTTAGAACATTCTCCACCTGTTCGTAGTCTTTAGATACATCAACAGAAATACATAGTACAACCTAGAAAAGGAAAGCAAAACAACATTTTTACAACACAGTAAGTCCAGTAACTGTTGACTCCAAGCCTTTCAAAATGAAGCAAAACCAAGTGACCTATCTTTTCCAGAAAAAGAAGACGTCTTTCTCACAGTTTGTACTTCTCCCACACTGGAGTAAGCAATCCCTGCCCTGCTCCGAGCTCCTCCCCCTCACACACACATACATTCTAGTGTAAAAAAGATTATATTAAGAACAAATAAGCACTTCAGGATCTTCAAAGCAGCTACTCATGTGCAAAGTATCATTTCTAATTTACTGTTCTAAGACACACTATGACTTGAGTTATTTACGTAAAGTTCAGTAAAAACTATTCTAAGGCAGTCAAAAATTCCATAGTTCTACATTTAACTTTCATCAGCGCTAAACACAAGTCAAACCATTTGTGTGGCTTAGGCTCATCTTTTCTCTTAAAGATTTTTTTTTTCCATATCATAGAAAGGCATGGTTGCAGAGTGTTGCTCTGAAACTGCAGCATCAGCACTGCAAACAAACTTTTCCAAAATTTATAAAGCAAGTGTTAAAAACCCGCTAACTTTAGTACTGGCAATGCATGCTACCCATTTTTTCCATAAAATGTTTTTGAAGAATAGCAGTAAATTTAGTTGCATACTGTTTAATTGGGACATTTCAAGGACAAAACTAAAATAAAAATTCTATGAGAAACTGACTAGTTGTACAGTGTCATATATATCTAAAGTGAAGTAATGTGTATATGTTTACTCCTTCTCTGGAAACCAGAGATTATGGGTTTTAGTTTGAAAGATACAGAAAAATAAAAATAAGCACTGGCGGGGGGTGGGGGGTGGGAGATGGGGGGCAGAACAGGGCAAAAAAACCCCAGATGACAGTGATACCTAAGTTTTGTTGAAACTAAAAGTTACTGATTACTTTCAGCAAGATGATCTCTCTTCAAAGCACCTTCAAATCAACTTCTGGCCAAAGGAAGCACTGCCTTTGGGTTACCACTTAAAAACTGCAAGATCGGTACAAACTCCAGCTTGGCCAGGGACTTGCAAATAAGCTACCCTCTCTGCTGGGCAACCAGCAGAGCTTCAGGGCAATTCATCGTCTTGAAAGGAGAAGCAATCACAATAAAAGGAGGGACTCCAATATTCTTGTTCCCATTTCTATCCTTTCTGTTCCTTTGGATAACTCATTTAAACTCAGTTTGAAGTGAAAAAAGCCAAAGTCATCACCAGTTTGTTACAAGTATCATCATGACCACTTGTCATGAAGCACATGGACGGACACACACAAAAAAAGCTTACCACAGTGTAACTAACTGCTTTGGCAGCTAGTCATTTGTCAGTTCTGCCTCTGGCCAGAGTACAACACTTCTTAGCTGCATAAACAGAATCTGCTTGCCGTTCCTGTACAGCAGGTTGGCTATTCCTGCCTCCCAGCATTGTGTGCAGTTGGACATCAGAGTAAACTTGTGGTGCAAGCTATTGGTGGGTCTGCATGCATCTCCCCTTAGGGCATTTATTACATTTTGGAAATATTTATCTTGTATATAAGTTTAAGAACAAAATAGCAGTTGAACAAAAACGACATGGATTTATTATCTGGATGTTTCTGCAAGATCAGTGGGGAGGTTAAAAATCGCAGGTCTGTATCAAAATTGGAGCAGTTGCTTAATGTATCAGATTGCATAACTAGCAATTCATACTGTGAACACCACACTCGGGAACTACCAAGCTTTTATTGATTACTATCACATTATACAATTCACCTCTTTGCTTCTATTACAATACGCTCTTTCTTCTGCTACAATATACTGATTACATTTACTCCAGAGCATGCACCATATAGATCCATGCCTAGGACACAGAATATACTGCCAGAAATAATCTAATATCCCCAGCCCTGTTCCTCACCTTTTGTTCTAAATATTGCATGATGTTGAATCATTAATAAAGCTTTCACAAGAAAAGATCAATTCAACTCCCAATGAAGTAACTGGGAATATTCTGTATTAGGAAAGGGATTAAAAAAAAAAAATTGCAAAAAACCTCTAAGAGCAAGGATTTTGTTCCATTGCACACCTATGCCCATAAAGGCTGCACTGTCAACACTCTAAATGAATCGCATGCAAACATCTTTAAAAGAACATTTGCCAAGTCGAACACTAAAATGTACATAAATGCCAGACCCTGGATGTCAATGCAACCTGGTTTCATGTATATATCCAAGAGCTGAACAGTGACAGCATATGCTCACGTAAAAAGTAATCTTTCCTGAAGATCTTTGCCTCTTGGCTCAACATCAGGTAAACGTAACAGTCTCTGTGTGCGTAATCCATATCAGACAACTCTCTTTCAGCAATCCTTTTGTACAGCTCCTCTTGGTTCAGCTACCCTCACTTCCCACCTTCTGATCTGCTTTACAGTGTAAGCTCTGCCCCAGACTCCCTGCTTTTTCCAGTTCTGCTCTTTGCATTTAGATCAGGCAGGCTTCCCTGCGACCTTGTCTACAACCCAACAACAGCTACAGAAGAGCTAGCCTACCTATCACTCCCACTGCCTATGCTTAACCTGGCTGCAAGTCTAAAGCTGCTTCTGCAAAAGCAGTCCTGTTCAGTCCACACTGGAACTTGCTCAACCTTGAAGGTACTTTCTGAGATTTTAACTGAAACTCTTATGAACGCGCACCAAGCAATATTCTTTTAAAAAGTCCACATCTATCAAGCTTGGACAGATTTTAACAAGAACATCCTGACACAGAGTTTGACAAGGGATTAACTTTAATGCTAAGCTTGGGAAACTACTAGAGCAGCTAGAAGAACACAGTTACTGGGATTTTTTTTTTTTTTTTAAATGGGCAAAATATAGTTTCCCCTCACCTCAAATGGCTTATTTTTTCAAATAAAGTTCATCTGAGTAAGGCAGCATGCACGGGGGCGGGGGGGGAATCAGCTTGAGCCATTTGACAAAAATACAAGGAAGAGAAGATAGACTCTTATCTTATAAATGGAGTGTCCTGGTTTTGGCTGGGATAGAGTTCATTTTCTTCCTAGTAGCAGGCATAGTGCTATGTTTTGGATTTAGTAGGAGAATAATGTTGATAACACACTGATGTTTTTAGCTGTTGCTAAGTACTGCTTATGCTAGTCAAGGACTTTTCAGCTTCCCATGCTCTGCCAGGTACACAAGAAACTGGGAGGGAGCACAGCCAGAAGAGTTGATCCAAACTGACCAAAGAGCTATTCCATACCATATGACGTCATGCTCAGTATATAAACGGGGGGTGGGGGGTTGGCCAGGGAGCAGCGATCACTGCTCGGGAACTGTCTGGGTATCAGTTGGCGGGTGGTGAGCAATTGCATTGTGCATCACTTGCTTTGTATATTATTATTATTGTTATCATCATTATTATATTGTTATTATTATCATTACTATTTTACTTTATTTCAATTATTAAACTGTTCTTATCTCAACCCAGGATTGTTTCTCACTCTTACTCCTCCGATTCTCTCCCCCATCCCATCGGGGTAGGGGGAGTGAGCGAGCGGCTGCGTGGTGCTTAGTTGCTGGCTGGGGCTAAACCACGACATGGAGGTATTAAGAAAATTTTGTATCAGCTAGTAGTAACATTATTGCCTCCAAATATTCAGCTTTTTCCATTGCTTCTTTTCAACAGAATATCCAATTTATCAATTCAAATTCCTTTTCACAGACAAATAAATTACTTGTATTGGTAATCATGAAAGTAACAAAAAAATTCTGGAACACAAGAAAGGAGAAGTCAAAGATGGTAACAGTCTCAATACTGTTTCCCCTCTCCCCTTGTTTATTAGTACTGCGAAAAAGTAATTCTAGCATTTCATCTCAAAGTTGCATATTTTGAACATAGCAAGCTCACCTATTTTAAGACAGTATTTCCACAGTCCCTAAACAGTCCCGCCTTTACGCATGAGTGCACTAACTACTCACCAAGGCAGCTTCAGCGTTCAGAAGTCTCAGAACTTCACAAATGTAACTTGTCTATCTGTTACAGTACTTTGCCAGGAGAAGGAATACAAGTATGATGTAGAGAACTAAACCTGGAAACAAGTACCTAAACTTCTTTCCCAAGACAATCGCTGTACTTATGAACTGCAAAAAGCAGGAAGTTTGAAAATGAATTTGGTTCTTCACCTTGAAGAACAGAAATACTTATCAAGCGACAGTAAATTGCAGCTATTCAAAAAAGCATACTACACCTACAGCTGAAGACATCAATCTTTTTCTCTAAGAAAAGCAGGCTAATGCACTAGGTAGGCAACATCAAATGCAGCAGAGTTCAGAACATGTCATGTAAGCAGACTGGTATTCTTGAATTCAAATACTGAGTCCTCACTCATTTTTGTCACACAGCTTTGTTTTAAAGACAGGACTACTGAACTATGTTGTAGGGACTATCTTAAACAAAAACCGCAATAGCCACTGTTAGCAGTGATCTTACCTGCTTGTCATTAACAGAGTACTTTTCTATTTCCTTCTTTGTCTGCAACAGCTTGTTCTGAAATGGATACAAGAACAGCTAAAGCATTGCAGTTCCAAGGGCAGTATTAGTCTTCAGTATTTCAATAAGGCTTAAAAACATTTCCTAAAACCCCCAAAAGTTATCCTCAACTAGCTATAACACTTTACTATTGCCACCTGACAGACTTATGAATATATGATGAAAACATGAACTCTGTCAAGCTACCAGAAGTTGCTTATCTGTTTTTCACTTCATCTTCTAAAGCTAGTAACGACTTCTGTAATAGATTTAATGCTTTTGTTTCATACAACTATATAGAGCACCTAAGACTGTAGGCATTAATTTTTCTCTTGTATTTCGGTTCTATTTTCTATTTATGTAATATTACATAAACTATTCTGAAAAACAATCACTGTCATGAAATTATCAAAAAAAATTAAACTGAAATTCGGTACATTCAAATTGTCATACTCCTTTCAAGAAAAACTGTGTTAATTCTGGCTGCATTCAAGGTTATGCAAAATAAGTTCTCAAATGTAAGTAAATTATCAAAGACAGCTGGGACTGAGGCCCCCCCAAAAAGTTAAGTGCTTTTATTTCCTGAATAATTATTTTTTTCCTCTACAAATAAAATAACAACCCATTATGAAAACAGAGTAATTCCAACTCAATTCTGAACACCTCTTAGTTAAAAAAAACCAAAGCAACTCTTTTTCCTCCAAAGCTGAACAGTTTTTCACTAGTAAAAAGTACAGTATAATGCTGATTAGACACCAAAACATTCTGTGACTTTTAAGAATTGTTTTTAATCCCTCAGTTGTCACTTACTGTAGGGAAATTCTACAGTTTTAAAGAATATAGGGTTTTTCCTGCTTTTGTCCTCTGCCACAGATCTAGACAGTGAAACAATGAATGCCATTAACAGAAGTGATAGCACTGGCAGAATTTTAAGGCAAGCTAATCACAAATTCCATGTTGGGCTATGCTCCTTAAAGAGGCAGCCACCTCTCCTCTTAAAATACATTAATTTGAAATGCTTATGATCCCCTTAAAATACACACTGAAGAAATTATGAATAATTACCAATTCCAAAATTATTCCCCACCTACGCAGATTTTGTGAACAGTTTAGCCAGTAAAAATACACATACACTTACCTCATCCCTTGCAATCAGTGTTATGAAAGCACCTTGCTTATAACATTCAATAGCAATACATTTTCCAATTCCACTGGAGCCTCCAGTTACCTAGAAGTTATTTGAAAATGCGAGTGTTAGTCCACTATTCTCATCCTTTTTCCCATATGATAAGAGTCAAACCAAATGAAAATTCTAAAAATATACTGAGATTAAAATACCACCCAACGAGGTATGAGTACAGAAGGTACACTGAAGTTAGTTTACTTATTGAGTATGAATGAAAAATAAGATCTGAATAGATCAGTGCGTGTTTGTTTCTATGCCAAAACCAGTTTTACCTCAGTGGTACTTTTTGCTCATTTCTTACATCAGGCACACTTAGACCCACTTCCACATGGGCTCTCTCACATGCTTTTGACTAAGTTCTGTATGTTATTTCTAAAAGGCAGAAGTAGTTATAAGTTTGAAATCACTATTAACGTTAGCCATAATAATACAATTACATACTGCCCCTCCATACCTGGTCGCAATAGAAATTATTCATAAAATTAACAATTGTAGATTGCCTGCTGAAGATAACATCACGTAAACATAAACAGAAAATACCTTCTTTCTTAGTAAAAAAATTCCATTAATTCAACAGCTGGCCCTCTGTAGAGTATTTCTCAGTCCCCCAGTCTGGACCTTGAACTGAACAAGCCATCCTGCAATTCCAGTTTTGTGGGGATGCCAGCACCTAAACTACAATTACCTTTTCTTCTTCTTTTAAATTGTAACACTGAATAGTCTTATACACAATCAGGAAATTAACTGTTAATCTACAGACAAATGCTGGGAGATGACTACAGCCCTGCATCATACGTTGCAGGAGGATACACTGCCAAATGATATTAATATACAGGTTAAAGTCACCTTAACACCTCTCTCACTACCCTCAATAAACCTACTTATGAACTCCATGTGGAACAAGATGTAGACAACAATAAAAAATAAAAATCTCTGCCTCACACTGCCTTTACATGACTTATTCATTTAACCCGAGTCTCAGTCTGCATGTGCCTTCAGTCCTTAAACAAACACTGGTATCTTCCTTATACAAACCAAATTATTTGAATTTTCTTTCAACAGCACACTAAGAGGCTATAATTGCAAAAATATTGGAACAAAATGCCTAGAAGCAGTTATTGTAAAAAAAAAAATCTGTTGATGAAATGAGTTCTGAAACACAGATTTCCTAATAATTGGAAAGAGAAGTGATTCAGATTGCTCTGGAAATCATCATTTTTTGTTCTTTATCAAAACCTTTCAAAACACTTCAGAGAAAGTATGAGAAAATGGAGGCATTGAGCTAAGTAGTGGAAGACCAAAGATCCCCAATCTCTAACTACACACCCTATCAAAAGCCTTGTGTTGTCTCCTCATCTCCCAATGCCTCAGAGTTTTGTTTTCAGAGATGCATTATCCTTAAAATTCTTTCCACTTCTGGAGGCAGCAAAGTCAGAAGAGTCAGAAGCACATTTCCATGAATCACTAAACTCTTCTTTCATATGAGAGTATTTGTATTGCTAACCTTCAAAAATAGCTTACCATAAACCAAATAATCCCAGCAAACAAAGATTTACAACATGGTCCATGGTTTCTGACTGGTTTGTCTACAGTCACAAGAATGGGTGTAACATTCACAAAGACTAATTTCAGCTCTTTAGGCTTCCTCTATTATTATAGATAGCTGCTTCAGATTAGCTTCTAACTGACTCTCTCTGCAAGATTAGGTTCACACTACACTAACCTTTGAGGATGACTCCAAGATGCATGTCCTGTTCTAGAAACGTGAAAGCTGGTCTGTAGCGTTCTGAACCAAGGATGACTGCTTTCAAAGTAAATGGAGTCCGTAAGAGTGCAAGTGTTAGTTAACAATTTGGGACTTCAGCAGAACCCCAGAACTAATTTAATGCTCATGATGGAAAGAAGTAAAGAATTTTAGTGTATTTGCAAAATAGCTTGCAAGATTTCAATACATCTCTGAAAGGATTAGAAGACTCAGTTTGATACATTCAGGCAGACCTCAGTTCCACAGCACTCGTGAGCTGCTTCTACAGATTTTCAACAGCAGCAGGCACACCAGCACATAAACTAATCAATGTGCATGGAAGACTGCTCCAATTCCAATTTTTGGCATAGCACTGAGAGACAGCTGGTTACTACCTGCACAAACCGCTGAGTATCATGAACAGGTCAACTACACCAGTGTTTGAGGAATTCTTTAAAGGTGAAGGTACTGGCACCAAGCCGCTGGTTTGTCAGACAATGCCAACGTTCATTGCAGAAAGACAAGGTCTGAAGTCATGCAAGAAATGGAAAAATGAACTTTTTATTCACAGTCACACCCAAGAACACTGAATAGGGCTCATGTCAGATAGGTCAGTGACAAAAGGCAGCATCAATTAGCTGGGAACTTTAGCATTTAGGTGGGAGGCTGTTACTAGTATGTGGGAGGTTGTTACTAATACACACATCTTTCAGGAACACTCACCATGAATGCTAATGTAACAGGAAAAAAAAAAAAATCCCTGACACTAGTGAAAACTTTCCTTCATGCTACAATGAAGTTAGCCTAACTAAATCTATGAAGCCTGTTAAGTAGGTAAGTTACTAATACAGATGCTCAGAATTAAACATGACATTATTACAGTTACTTACCCTTGTGGCCAATAGTTCTACAGTGCCATTGCATTTCATTAGTTTGAGACATTGGAATTGCAATTGATCCCATTTTTAAGTTTCACTATAACCCAGCCTCAGAGGAGTTAGCAAAAATAAAAATCTGGTCACAACAACTCAAAACCCAGGAAACATGAAATTAACTATTCCTCTACCCTTAACTGGTTTAGTGGTGGACTTGGTAGTGTTAGGCTAATGGTTGGACTGGATGATCTTAAAGGTCTTTTCCAACCTAAGCAACACAGACTAATTTCTTGACAGGAAGGGACAATTAAATCCTAGTATTAATTCAGATGTTCAGAATGCAATACTACCAGCCCTTGAGCAGTGTTACTGAGCTGCTTCTGTGCTTGAGAAGAACAGGTAACAAATTAGCCATTCCAAAAAGGGTCTGGCTCCAACTTCTCAAGCTGTCATCCTTGATAACAGAGTTCAGTTTCTAAGGATCATAGGGTTTATTTCCCCCTTGATTAATGGAAATATTGGGGTGAAGTACAGAGAATTGCTGTGTTTAACTTTCAAATTTGAGATACTGGAAATTCACTTCAGTTGATGAGCCAGTCCAACTCCAAATTAACAGAACTGTCATCAGGAATGATCAAAATCAAGACTTGATTGATATGGTATCTCCAACAGAGCTTATTAACTTTCACTTAGCACTGGATGCAAGCTGGCTTCATGCTTTTATACAGTGCTCTGACAGAAGGTTATTTAGTTCCACCGAAACAGAGCATCCCTGTAATCTGCTCTAAGTGGTTAGTATGCCTGACCAGACTCAAAATGACCTCTCGTCAAACCACTCGGATGCATCCAAACCACAGATCGTATCACTCCCAACACAAGAGCTACAATGCTGAGACACCAAGATTGGCCATCCTTAAAGTTGACCGCAGTTATCAAGTTGGGCTCTGCACAGAGGTGGTGAAACTACTTCCAGACTAGAGACGACCTTTATGCATGTGGATTTGGCACCATCATCCTGAACTATGTCCAAGCAAAAGGTGCTTTTCAATGTGAATGGGAGATAGGCCCAAGCAGAGAACATCTTTACATTTCCTGCCATTGTTAGTCCACAAACTTTGATAAACTGCATTCGTATCACAGTGATCTTGGGTTTTTGTTTGTTTTTTTTGTTTTTTTTTTTTTTCCAGAAATGTCAATATGGTTTTAGAAAGATTAAAAGGCTGAAACAAGAGGGGGAAGGTTAGCATTGGTATTTCAGCAAAGACAGTTTCTGAACATCGCTCATGAAATTTACAGAAGGCTTCTTTTGCCCTAACATCTTAAGTTTTTGTTGCATTCTGCTCCATCAAGCAAAATACCTTTGTAGAGAAATTGAAAGAAAGAGCAGAGATAATGTGCATAGTGCAGGTGTAACATCCCTGACAAAAGACATATAAATGTGACACAAGTGAGCATGATGCACATGAAGCAGTGATGACTGCCTTATCCTATTTTTATTTTCCTGTCTACTACTACAACCAGCTACCAAACTAATAGCTTATTCTCACAGAATAGGTGATGTGTGCTAATATGTAGCCTGAGACCCAAGATGAGAGTTAAAGTCAATGGCAAAATAAAAGATGGATAAAATAGTATTCTGGATTTCGAACCATGGAGAAGTTCAGCACAAGAAGCAGTAGCTCTATGGCACAAAAATTACTTTTATGCCCTTTATTTAAGAACACTTTCCTAGTCGTGCTAGAAACAAAGCCAGTAGTATTAAACATCTAAAAGGCATTTTGTTTTTAAATAAGCTAAACCTGATGCTTGAGCCAGTTTGATAGCAGAGAAGTCCTTTTTATTTAATGGTGCTCACTGGGGTCACCAAAATGCATAGCAGATAAGGGGGGGTGGGGGGATTTCCCACAAGATTAGACCATTAGTAATTTAGAGTTCTGTAGACTCTCACTCTGAATAACAGTCCTATTCTTTTCTAAGAAAAAGAGACTCCTATGATTGTGATTCCTCCAGAAAGCATGCCTCGCCTAACACAGTGCACACTTCCATCATGCAAATGGCTCTGGGAGAGCACAGAAAGAAAAAAACCTGCAAGTTTTCTGCTTCAAATTTCTATCCCAAAAAGCAGCCAGAGTCAGTTACTTAGCCATAAGTCAAACATCTATTAGCTGTAACCATTAGGAGTGAAGAAAAATACTTTTATGAAGGATTAAGAGTGAAAAGAATGCTGTCTTAAGTTGAAAATTCAATAACTGGTGTGTAATAGCATCTGAAGTTGCCCAATGACCTTCCTTCAGAAATGCAACATATATTTTCACGATACTTTCAACAGGCCCCCAGAAAGAAGCTTTTCTAGGTAAGACTGACTTTCTCTGCTTAAAAAAAAAAATTATTCAAGTATATCTCGAAAAATTGTATTTACTGTG